ATAATTAAAGTAAGTATTGCATATATAGAGAGAACTAATATTAAAAAATAGAGAGAGTTGTCTCATGATTAAATAGATCTGACTTGCTACACGACAGAAAGTGGATGCTTCTTGAATTTACAAAGATAGACATTTTCAGAGTGCACTTCTTATTTTTTCCGTACTCAGACTCCTATTAGGTATGCACCAGTTATAGACCAGTTATTTCTGATTGTTTTTTGGGTCATTCAGCAAAAAATTGTTATAACATGATTATTAGGGATCGATGCGACTTGCGAAACATCTCATTTTATAGAAGAATGTCTGCTCTATCTATTGGCACCTAACAAAAAACGAAAGGATAAAAGAAAGACGCTGAAGAGTGAAGAGACATGAACGATTATCATGTACAATTTTAATATTCTAGATTGTTCATATTTGTACCACAATTAAGTTTAAAGTTTTTTCTTTCAACAGATAAATAGAGTAAACATATGTCTACACAATGAGACATTCCACAGCTCGGGATCATTCTTAATAATCGCATTATAACAATTTGGCGAAAACGGAGCTAATAATATTCTACCGATCACGAAATAATGTACTGATGTTGAGATGAATAAATGAACTCCATTCTACTATCAGTTTTCGATTTCTTCACCATCTTCGACTACTGCAAAGTCATTGCAAAATCCAATGCACACTAAAGCTAACACTTGGTATTACCAGTGGTCCAGATTAAATTGCCGACTTTTGTAAAGCAATTTTCTCAGGTTAAGCTTGATTAGAAAATTTCGTTTGGGTAGTAAAAGATAGAGAATTTTACTTAGATTTCAGTTATATATTCCTTTTGAAATAAGTATTTCCTGTTGTTCTACAGCATTAGAAATGCTGAAAGCCGTAAAAAGCAGAGTTTCTCAGCACTTTGTATAGAATAATGTGCAGTTTTTAGTATTCAAACTAGTTTTGTTGCGCGATTTAGGCAAGATATGAAAAACTAGAATAAAGCCTTAATATTCTAGGTACAAAACCAAATTTTGGGACGACATTTAACGATTAGGGGAATCAGTTACAAAATATGTCTCGTTATCAGGTTTTTGGGGCCCTTCATTGTATAAGTCAATATCACATCTCATTTATTATCACAGACAGTAAACCTATGGGAAGAATGACATCTGCTGGACTTTGAAATTCTGCATCTGCACATATTTAAAAATAATTTTTGGTCGTCAGTGTTTGTAAAACACCGCCAAAAATCTCACCGACCGAAGATGTTTATTAATGTTTCAGAAACGAACATACCATCAGATACATCGAGAAATTCTGCATCTTTTATTACTAAAACCAAATTTTTACGCTTCTTTAACTGAACAAAAATTTGTTTTCAAAACTTTCTAATTCTTTAGTTGGGCAATTCTGTTTTAAATGACTTTCAGCATTTTCTAATGCTGTAGAAAAACGGGAAATACTTATTTCAAAAGGAATATATGACACACTTATTTTATCATCCAAATGAAATTTTCTGATCAAGCTTAACCTGAGAAAAAAGCTTTACAAAAGCCGGCAATTTAATCTGGACCATCCATTACGGCTTATTCACTCACTCTCACGATCCACCTTTCCCCTACGTCGTCACTTGCGTCAGAAATACTATATTAATAGGCTTATTTCTTAAAGTAGCAAAGTTTCTTACTCCTTCTCTGATTTGATAGACAAATGTTTCTTCAGATAAACTTGATGAGGCGTCAAACCGAAAATCATATTTGAAGATACAAATCTGAACGTTTCAAATACGGGCGTGTAAGACCGAACCGACCGTTCAGGATTCTGCTTGATTCATTAATATAGCATGTTTGATTGCGGCTAAAATCGGGTTTAGCTAAGTTAACGAACATTTTCGTTTACAATAGAAAAGATCTTCAGGTTTGGAAAGCTTCGTTCCTTTCTGCATATCAACAAGAATAGAATTCTCTTATATAGTCTAATTATTAACTATATATTCAACGTAGATTGTCATTTTTCTAGTAGACAGAAAGTTTTTCAATATTTATATCATGTCAGCAGAGATAGAGAAACAGTTTCCACTTTCTAGTCTTAACACATTGTTCAACTGCAAAAATTTGTTCGTGTGTGGTACTGCTATTTCCTTCGCATGCAGGACCTATGCATTGAGAAAACTCTTCACATTTCTTGCGAACAATCTAGTCTTGGTTTTAAATACTTCATCTCTGAGTTCTATTCTACTAACTATCAGATTTCGTGCTTTGCTCCGTTTCTGCTCTTCTCTAAAGAAAGGTAGAGAAGCTGACTAAAATAGTAGTAACAAGAATATTGTTTTCTCAGCACTGGCGACTTCAGCAATTTCCATTGACATCAAAAACAATTTTTAAAAGTTTCTACATTTTAAAAAATTATTGATCTTTACTTTCCTATCACTTCTTTATTGTTATTGTATAAAAAATTGTTGAAATTTGTAAAAAACTTATCATTTTCATCACATTTGGAGAAGGTGACGATTGATTGACTTTTAGTCATATCAAAGACAGATTTCTATTCCTTTATTAATTTACTGGAAATAGTTCTCCTATGCATTATGACTCAATATGATTCAATTATGCAAGTTGAATTTTTCTTCGATCTTATTAAGATTTAAAGCAATATTTGGGCTTTATTTATATGTCAAGGTTAGACTAAATTATGGTTCTAGTTTTCCTTAACGTATGTGCATAAATAACAAACTGTAAACCTAAATTTATGAGTTTGAGTGTGTATCTGTACAAAATTAATTTCTGATGTGTTTTTAAATATTTTTTCATTGCGTAAGTTTTAAAATATTGTAATGGGTTGATTTGCGTGTGTATTCTGAAATAACAGAGCTCAGATTAATTAAATAAATAAAAAATAAATGAGCGAGATATAAGATGAAGCTTCAAAATAAAATATTTGCAACGAACATGATGTGAGATGATGATTCAAATATTTTTCTTCAAAAAGTTCTAATAGTCTCCAAATACAAAATCTCCATGAAGTTTTACATTACTAAAATTTTGCAATCGGCAATCATCGATATTACACCGGTACATACTGATAGACTCTGTAATTTTGAGCTGTTTCATGGTATCTTCCTCCTCTTTTTTCATCTTGTCGACAAAGGTGGAAGCAAAGGTCCGATTGACTCTAAATGTATACTAGAGATAGAATATTGAAAAAGAACATCGATATATTTTGCTCAGAACTTTTTTGACATATTCTTCCATGACTTTTTTCTGGAGACAACAGTTGTCATCCATCACGTTATGACCCCTCGAAAAAATGATCTAATTGAGCTAAAATTTTTACTAGAGATACTTCAGATCCTATCTCAGATTCTAAATTTCTTTTTCAAAAAATATCCTTTCCCTCTCGACATATTCGGAAAACACTGACAATTCTGCGTATAAACTCGACTGTTGATTTTGATTTGATCGTAATGGTATACCACTGGAACAGAAAAAATAAAGTTGGTTTTGAGTTGCTGAAAAGTGCTCTTTCGTATTCAGCACACTTGATAACTCAGAAGATTTTGTATTTTGGGCGAGGGGTACTTCCAAAAGTTTAGGAAAAATTTTCAAACTAATATTATTTTCTCATGGAAACTTTTTTTGCGCCGTTTTGTTTGAAAATTTTTCCTAAACCTTTGAAGGTACCCCTCGCCAAAAATAGAAAATTTTCTGAGTTATCAAGTGTGCTAGATACGAAAAAGCACTTTTCAGCAACTCAAAACCAACTTTATTTTTTCTGTTCCAGTGGTATGCCATTACAACCAAATCAAAATCAAAAGTCTGAGCAGCTTTTCCGGTGATATATGGCTGGATTAGAACTGCTCATGGTTAAATATCATTTTTGTATTACAAATAACATTAGACAAGATACTTTTTTTTGACACATTTGCAACGATGCTTATAATAACACTCCTATGCACACAACTATTATTGATTTTTTATTTCAAAAAAACCCGAAGCTTTCGATTACGATCCATAATCATCATCAGCTATAGTTTACAATAAAAAATACGACTATATATAAATACGACTATATTCAGTCGTTCTTTCCCATTCTTTTTTTTCGCTTTTTGCTTTTCACTATTCACTCACTTTTCGCTCTCGTTCTTTTTGTTCTTATAAACATATATTGAACACTGCAATCGAAAGATTCGGATTTTTTTAAATAAAACATCAATGATTGTTGTGTGCAGACGATTCTTGTTATCTTTACTGAATTAATATTACAACAAACAATACTGGTATTCAACGATGCTTGTATTTCGATGAAGAACTATCTGAAAACTTTGAAAGATGTTTCATTGTAAAGAGTACACTTTACTCTATCAGACGATGCATAAGAAAATATTTTCAATGTGCTCGAAATGAGAGAAAAATGAAACAAAAAAAAAGAGTATTTTCTCGAAAAAAATTTAGAAAATTGATAACTCTTTCAAAAATATCATGGAAAGCTCGAAGTGGCCTCATCTTGTGACAAGCTTTCCTCTACATTAGAATATATGAAACTCAAAATCGGAGTTTTTTTCAAAAAAGGGGCAGAGTATACCCTTAAAGAGAAATTTATGACCATCAAAGTTGAGAATGAGGACATATTTCACATCGATTTTAAATTAGCAAATTATTCTGAAAAGCGTTAAAATGATTAATGTATTTTCGATAGAATGTGTAGATAAGTATTAGCATCATTGAAGAAGTTGAATAATTTTTTGTTTTTTCTTCATACCACATGTATGAGCTGTCATATTTTTGCTGTGCACATTAGAAAACGCATTTTTTTTAATGATTTTTTAAACTGTTTTCCTATCTAATCTCTTCTAAATAAGACAACGATATTGTATTTTTCTGTAAAAATATTTTGATTGTTTAATACGTCATAATAGGACAATGATCTTGTGATAATTCTATTTTTATTTACTTCATTTAGATGATATCTGTCTAACAGATACATTTAACATCAATTTTCCATCTGGTTTTTAAATTATGATATCATCAACATCACTCTTATTAACGTCAAATAATTGTAATAATTTGTCATCACCATCGTCAATATTAATATGGAACAATTGTTCAAAACAAGAAGAAATTGCTCGTCTTTTAGAGATATATACATATCCGATACTATTAATCATTGGTACAATTGGTAATTTACTCTCATTAATTGTTTTATTACAAATGCGTTCACATAGTGTTTATAGATATTTAACGTTTATGTCCATAGCTGATACAGCGTTATTATATACAGGTCTATTGAGAGATTTATTATTATCATCTAATTTTCATATTCATATTCAAGGCAATTTATTGTGTAAAATACACGTGTTTTTCTTCTATAATACATTTCATTTATCCTCATGGTTTCGTTGTTGTTTAAATTTGGATCGTTATGTTGCTGTTAAATTTCCCATATACACTTCAAAATGGTGTAGAACTAAACAGGCATGCATCAATACATGTATTATTACTATTCTCTTTTCAATACTCAATTTTCATTTAATTTTATTTGTACATGGTGATATGGATTCATCTATTATCTCTTATTCGACAACAGTAAATCCATTTCAATATCAGAAATGTTATTTAAATAATCATTATCAACAATTTTTCTTATCAATTTATTCATGGATAGATATGCTTGTTGTAACTATTATACCTTTTCTATTTATTATTATGTGTAATTTAACTGTAATAAATCGAGTATTCATTGTTCGACAAATTAATTCTACAAAATCAAAACAAGCTCATCATACTCATCAGCCTGCAATTAGATCAAAAGCAACAAATCGTTTAAGAAGTTTATGTTTAATGATGATATGTAGTTCGGTTATTTTTGTTGCTACCACATTACCAGTCACTGCTTTCATTATTGATTTGAACGCTCATAATGTAACAGAGAAAAAACTACGTTGTCGTAAAGTTCAGTGGACAATATACAATATTTTGATGTATTTAAATTATGCTTCGATTTTGACATACTGTTTATCCGGTACAGAATTTCGTCACGTACTCAAGCAAACTCTCACATGTTTCAAATCTCAGTCATCAATAGTTTCATTACTTAATAAAGATATTCAAAAACAAAAAAAAAAGACTAATAAACTAAAATATCATCATCAGCAACAACAACAACAACATAGATATATATCATCTTCAAACTATCAAACACGACAACAAACACCAACCACACATTGGGGGAATTTTTTTCTACCGTTTAAGTTAACGTTAAGTACAAATCGTCTGAATGATCGAAGAAAATCGTCATTATCTATATGTCCAAGTCACGTTGTCAACAATGAACCGAGTATTGGATTTCAAAATAACAATTCAACATCAAATAATCAAATTAATACGGGAAAAACATGTTTACAAATAAATACCGTGCATCATCATAACCAACCATCGTGCTCACATTTTCTTACATTAAATACAAACGTATACGATTCATCAGTAAGAAGAAGTTCAGCAAAAACGAGTATTTACGAACAAAATTGAACTTTTTTTCCATAATGTTTCGAAATTATTTTATTATTGTAAAATCGAATTTTCTTTTGTTATTCAATTAATTTGAGAAAAAAAATAGCAGAAAAATTGAGTAAAAGCAAAGATTGTTTAGCACAGCTGTAAAAACTTTATCTGCGTTGCTCACTGTTTTTGCCTTCATATCGTTCGCCGTATTCATCGTCTTTTTATTTTTTGAACAGACAAAGCCTTGTTCTATAATAAAAGAATTTCAGTTTTATTAAACAGCTGGTGACACTTCAATCAATAAAATTGAAATTTTTGTTACAAAACAAAGTGAAAGACAGTGCTACAAAGCAAATTGATAAATCTAGCATGTGGGATATACTAATTTGTAAAAAAGAAATAGTAAGTCCCCTACTTTGAGCGTGGTATACCAAGACGAAAGCATTTTAAAGAGGAACCACTAGTTTATTGTTCGAAATCAATGCAAACGCGACATCCACAAAGCTCCGTTTTTTCTGATCATAATTAAAACATTTCGCTCGATATAATATGTTACTCAGATTTTCAACGCTTAAAGAATCATCATAAGTGCTGTTCTTGCCCAAGCAAAAAATTGGGTCGGTTTTGCTTGGGTGTATACGTGTTCATCTTGTTATTTTTTTAGGTGCTATAAAAAATGCTTTTCGAAATATACAACGTAGTTTACTATAAGATTAGAATACAAAATGGTAGTGGGCCCTATTGAATCTTTTTGTACGCAATAAATTACTCAAGATCTTGAAAAAACTTATCAGAATCGCTTTGGAGCAAAAATATGAAAACTTCTTCCTTACTACTACAGCGAGGACTAAACTTATTATCTTATCACCAAATCGAAAAGTTATAAAAGCTTCTTTGATCAAAAGTGATTGCAGATTTGCCTTCTCCGTAGTCGATTACCTTGTACACGATAACTCTTGGGTCAGGGTACTTCAGAAAGAGATTTGCTCAAAAATTTTCGAAAAAGTCACCGCATGGGACCAGAGGTCAAACGATGTCGAAAATTTGTTTTGAAATACCCCGATTCAAAAGTTATCATCTGCAAGATAATCGCCTATGGCGAAGATGAATCTGCAATCGGTTTTAACCGAAGACGCTCTTAAAATTTTTCGATTTGGCGATATGTTTACAGAGCGAAGTGACTAACTAAAACTTTAATAACTTTGCTGTTTAGACACTAATAAACAAGTACATCACTGTACTCTCAAATATGCATCTATATACAGGTTTCAACCTATTCAAGCTATGCATAAAATCTATAGTGATTGGGTAGTCATATCAAAGTAGAATCTACTGACGTTTTATATCACGTAACTGACAAGAAGTATATGGTTCATGGACAACAAATTGACGATCACTAATATAGATAGTCTAATTGCATCTTTGTCGCAACTAAATGGGAGAGTTTATCCAGAATAAGAAAAACGACAATGTAATCGTACCCAGCATTCTCCAAAATCCCTGGCATGTTTCTATGCGATATGATAGATGGAAATAAAATTACGTGATTTGTAAGTATATCTACAATTTGTGCATAACAATTCATGTAACCTAAATTGTAATCAAAGTATACAATGATACGCCTAATTGCACCCGTAATATAAGTAAGGTATAAATGTAACAAGAGTTAATCGAGAATAAAATAAAGACTTTTATATAGATCAAAGAAAGTGCAATTAACGAACGAGGAATTAACATATACATTATTTTTCTATAGAAGAATCCTCACACGCGTGCACAGACCAAGAAAAAGTATTTTTAAAGTCAAAGATAGAGCATCGTTAAATGCATTTTAACTCTAGAGCAATAAAGCTATAAAATTTACATACATACAGTCGATTCAAGCATAAATAATAATATCATAACAGACTGTAATTTATAGAAAGCTGTTTTACACAAATATAAACGAAAATTGCACATATTGTAAATATCAAAACTCCCTGAAACTTCATCATGTAAATGCATTAAAAAACATCATTTTCCATGTTATGAGAGCCTATTGTTAATGCTGTAAACGCTGGAAAAAGCTAATAATTTCGTACTGTAAATCAGAAAGAGGGGGGAGGGATAAAAAAGATTTGATCGTCTGTTTTCCAGGGTTTTCTGGCTTTAAGCTTCAAACTTCCATTTCCTTCGGGAAAACGGACAGGTCCTTGGAAGTTTTCACAAAAAATATCAAGAAATCAAGATCTTGGCCAAGATCTTATGGTTTGCCTGAGTAAGGGCGAAAACTGAAACAGAAAGTTGAGGAAACTTTAAATGGGTAGGTCGGATGAGGCATTCTATGCATAAAATTTTACCGACATGATTAGCAGAAAATGTAATTATTTTTTAATTCATTTGTGCTTTACTTAAGTTGCTATATATTATAACTTCTGAAATAACTTCTTCTGCTAGCGATGGACAAGTCTGAAGTAACTTGTGTTTCGCAAAATCGAAATTTCAGTTTTGTTAATATACTCATCGTCAATTACTATTTTTGAAATTATTTCACAGTTTTGATAAGTTTATCATTTTTTTGTTGCTGTCTTTTATCGTTAGCAACAACGAACGTCAAACCATGTCATCTAAATTAATTTCATTATTTTCATATCTTGGAGCTAGATTATCTATATGATGTTGTACAACATTTGTTTTTCTCTTATTACGACCTCGTACGCCTACTGCTTGAACAACGTGAAAGCGAAGATAGACTTCTTTTTTCACACAATTTACCAGTTACTAAATGTTAGGATGATGTTTGTTTATGCGTACATTGAAATGATTATGCCATCCTAGAATCAATATTTGTTAGTAGGGTGACACGACTCTACTACGAAATTAAAATTTGACGGCAGAAATTAGACTGAGAGCGAAAAAATCTAATTCGCGAAAGAGTCGGATGATCAGCGAGGACTTTAAGTATCCCACAAGAAGTCTATCATTTTACATAAAAAGTATTTTAAAGAGTCAGTTTCTGGCTCTTCTGAGATCTGTGCTCAAACTGTTACTGTAGGAAAGGTTTTGCTTAGCAAAGAAGACTTTTGAAAAACGGTCGTAAACAACTCGCAGCTTCATCTTTAAGATTATCGAAAGCAAATTCAACATCGTTTAATAGTAGTAGTGCTAGAGCCATGAGGTTTCAGCAAAACATCCGAATATTTTCGTGCTCACGATGCTGAGTCGTTAAACCTAATGACTGAATATTACGATAAGTATACTGAGTACAATGAAAATAGCATCCGTTATGTGTTGTTTGTGAAAACTACAAATATGAGCGAAAGTAATGTATTCATAATAGAGATAATGTACAAGAATCGCATCGCTATTTCTGCCGTCATTTTAGGTTTCTGTCCTTACTTAAGCAATTCATTGTCTCTATGCAAAATTTTGTTGATGAGTCGCTGCTGCCTGCGTTTGTTTTAGCCGAATTCTCCGCAAAATAAGCTCCACAGCACGGCTGAGTGATTTGCGAATATTTTCTACTTCTGGACGAACAAGAATGTAAAACAAAATGGGGATTCAGGGATTTCTGATCTTAAATCAAGATCTTATTACAAGAAGTCAAGAAATTTCAAGATGTTCAAAATTTGCGATTTAAGGTGTTAAATAAAGTTCATGACCGATTAAGTCCTAGTGCGCGTTCTTCGGTATTCGACTTGATTCCAGTTTGTTTTAGGCGGTTGCTAAAGAAACTCGATTATTTCGAATTTAGATTGCTTTACTGCATTTCGTTTGAATTCTAAGGAAAATTTCAAGTCTGTCCGCCACCTACCACAGAGCTTATGTGTGTCAAGTCGGATTCTATTCGAAGGAGCGTTGATTGTATCGTTTACAACAACTAGTAATACTACAACTTGGACACTGGACGATTGGCATCATTAATGCAGCTTTGGCCTGTCACACACTTTCGATCTGTCAACTCCACTCCGCCTTTGCGGGAGCAACAGCGCCACACACCGTCCTGCGTTGCATTCTATGGTCAACCTGTTACTGTACATCGCTGCAGCGAGAGTATCAGTGTTACACCAGCAGGACGGGGCTAATCTCAATAAGAACTCAAAATATGTATAAGTTTGTATCTGTATTTTGTATTTACTGTGGTTGTTTTTTAAGCTTCGTGGAAAAGTATCTGCCCAACAAAGAGAATGAATGAACTCTGTTCTTTTTAGTCCTAAAGATTAAAGAGATAAGATGAACTTGAGTTCTTGAAACTTTTTTTCACGTTTTTTGTCAAGATCTTACTAAAAGTCCAAGAAGTCAGACTTTTGATTCAAGACGGGAAAAGTCTACTTCATAAAAAAATAATTGCTGCTGGGGTAAAAAAGAATGTATTCTGTGGTTTGTTATTATCATGAATGTCTTTTAATCGATGGATGATAAACCCTTGCCGATAACAAAATCTTAAGAGGACTCTCTCATAAAAATAAATCAAAAATATTTATTGAATTTAGGATTTTGCGAAGAAACTTCCATAAAAATTTTCAAAATTCGAACTAACTAATATTAGTGCAACTTGTACATGAGCAGATAGCACAAAGTGTCGTCTAAAATCCTCTCTCAAGGTTTAGGCTTGACACTGGACTTTTGAAGCGTCTCGGGAGCAAGGCTGCCAACGCAAAGCGATAAACCATTGTCTTTAATGATAAAAATAATTCCGCAGTCAATGCTTTATCTCTTCTGGGTGACAATGCTGCTCACGACTTCTCGCTTCTTAATCTCAAAAACGGATAGCACATCGGTTTTCGTCACAATGAGTCTCATGGCAAATTTGTTTTCATGGGAAACCTTAAAAAAGTTTCCTTAAGATAAAATATACCCGAGTATTATTTTAGGTTTTGAAACAGTGTGCCTTAATCTCTGGCACCTCATGCGTTTCATAATAAAAAGAACACAGTAAAATAAATGTATGTCTCGTAAGGAGTAAATAAAATTAAACAACATTTCGCCTTTCTTTGGCAAAGTGCAGCAACTGATCTAAATATATTGTTCAACGGCTCTCACATCGTTAAATGTTTTGACGGATGTTCACCTGGTAAACTATGTATAACCGAAGTTCTGTTAGTTCTATAGAATAATCAATTTTCATTGATTTAGGCTGAATATATGATTCGAATACTCCTGGAGCCACGTCCAGAGTTTTATTTATAAAGCGTAAGCAGTAGATTTTCGCTCATTTCTGAATTGTTTTAAATTTATCACAATGCTATTTCATCGTTGGAAGCATCTGGCCACAGATGGGTCAATCTAAAAAGACTAGTGTTACCAGCTTCCTGCGTTTTCTTTGACATATTCGATAACATTGACCACAACATATGTGTTTGTTGATTATAGAAATATGATCGAACTTTTGTCTCTTCTGTCGATGGAGATTCGATTCATAAATTTTGTGGGTGTAATCTTGAGTAAATGTCTAATTTTATTTAGCCAAATGTTTTATTTTTTTGTTTTTCTTTTATCACTTCTTCTTGGTTCGTGAAATAGCCAGCTGGCTTTTAAAAGATTTTAGTTAATAGCATCTTTCTCCTTTTATATAGTACTCGAGCAGCTGTTGAATAAAGATTTTCCTAAAAATAGTATCTTTATGGATCATTCCTTCGACATTTTCGTTAGAGCGATTCGCCTCGCCTACTCTTATGGATGATTCATAGTCAGCAGTAACCAATCAAAATATGCAGACGTTCCTCCGTGAATATTATATGAATAAACTAGTAGAAAATTCTTCTGTTTATGCAGTTCAGATGTGTTAATAGCCTAAACTGACATTGTTTCGAATGATTAATGAAAGAAGAAGTTTTCTATCGTTTTGTAACTTGCTCTTTTAACATTTTAAAGTTGAAATGAGAGTCAGCTTTCGAGTTTATGCTACAGAAAATGTTCATTACAGTGGCCTTCTCGTTCTTGATAGGGTTGCCTTCGACATACGTCGAAATAAATAAATAATAAATAAAAAAATACCTTTCTGTTTTGTGTCATGATATCCTAACTATAAAGGCTGTTGATCTCTTTGTCTGTCTGTCTCCGTTTTCTTTGTCAACATTTGGAGAAAACAACAAGTTTACTATAGTCACATGTACTTCTGACTGTCTGTTTTAGAATAACAACGAAAAAGGAAATTAAAAGTATCGAACTCAATTAGAAACATCCATATTTTAAAACTAAATTAATTTCACAATGAATCCAGAATAGTAAGTTTTGTTTTACGTGAAATTCCACTTTTAGTAATTGGTCTAATTCCTCTGTTTTCTTTCAGCGATTACTTGTTCAAATTATTACTTATCGGTGATTCTGGTGTGGGAAAATCATGTTTATTGTTGCGTTTTGCTGTAAGTTGTATTCTTTTCTGTTTTTGTTCGTGGTCCATACCTCCACGAATATTTAGATGACAGCGCAAGCAGAAATTTGATTACTGACCTTGTTTTTTTGTTATAGGATGATACCTATACTGAAAGTTATATTAGTACAATTGGTGTTGATTTCGTAAGCATTTTCTGTACTTCATATGTTGTTACTTATATTTAGCTTATTTTTATTTAGAAAATTCGTACCATCGATCTTGAAGGGAAAACAATTAAGCTGCAAATTGTATGTGATTGTTTCTTTGGTTTTTTATCACTGTGCATCTATTTTTATTTTTATGTTTAGTGGGATACCGCTGGTCAAGAGCGGTTTCGAACGATAACAAGTGAGTACTTGATATATAAGTTATTCTCGTGTGAAATTAATTTTTTTCCTTTAGGCAGTTATTATCGAGGAGCACACGGAATTATTGTTGTTTATGATGTAACAGATCAAGTAAATTTGAAGAGAGATAAAACTACATTACTCATCTATCCATTTCAAATCAAAAGAAATGCTAGTTTTTGAATAACTCGAGACAGGAAAGAGATAAAGACTTATGCTTTTCACTGTTCGATAGGCAAGAAAAACGGTTTCTTACGAGTAAATAGCCGAAAGTGTCCTCGTCAAAAGGGAAGTCAAGCGAGACGTTGATTTTCGATGATTCAGACATAGCATGAGATTTCTAAGGAGTCCCAGAACTGCTAAGGCTAAGACTAAGACTGTTTTATTCACGAAAAGTGAGAGTCATTAAAGGTCACTGACCTGTAATAAATGACTCAAGCCAAACAACACAAAAAGAATAATAAAAAAGAACAAAATAAATAAGACAGCTAAGGTTAGAACCAGAAGTAGAGTGCTACTCGGTGATTCGGAAAGCGCAAAAGACATACGTAATCGACCACACTGAATCTGATGACCCCGTTTATTTTCGAAGAAAAAATCAAAAATCTAATAAAAATTGCGCTTTGAGTTTTCACCACTTTTCTGTCTCGAGTTATTCAGTAACTAAGCATCCTTCTTTTGATTTGAAATGGATAGTAGTCGCATAGAATCAATCTTCACATGCGGCTTGTATTTCTCCAGGAATCATTCAATAATGTTAAACAATGGTTACAAGAAATTGATCGTTATGCAAGTGAGAATGTAAATAAACTTCTAGTTGGCAACAAATGTGATTTAACTGCTAAAAAAGCCGTGGATTATGTTAAAGCTAAAGTAAGTTGAGCGTTTTTTAACAAAGAAGAAATACGTTTTATCTTAGTCAAAAAATTTTCATTATATTTTAAATAATACACTCTAATTATCACAAATAACTTCTTATCCCCTATAAAAGAAAGACAAAGGCCGTTGAGCTAGAATAGAAATAAAAATTTGAGGTTATACAAATCTTTTTTAGTCTTTCTCGTGCTACAGCTTAGCTTAGTAAGCATGCTTTTCTTTTACAGTGGCCAGCATATGTTCGAGAGAACTTAGCCACCGTTCAAGAAAACGCACAGAACAGTTTACATCGACAACACACTTTTTTCCTGTGATCAGACGTTGTATTGCTAGATTAGATGAATAGTGATGATTATTCGTTCTTTTGTGATTATCAATAGAGGTCACCCCGGCGCATAATACTATATATTTTTAAAGTTTAGCTACGGTTTTAAATAACAGAATTTTTCTTTCTAATTTCAGGAATATGCCGATTCATTGAGCATTCAATTTTTAGAAACGAGTGCCAAAAATGCCACGAATGTTGAACAAGCATTTATGAAAATGGCTACAGAAATAAAATATCGTATATCCACCACCGCTTCTGATGGTGCAAAACCACTAAGTGGTATTAATGTTAAAGGAAAACCTGTTAATCAGAAAACGGGGGGGTGTTGCTAGAAAAAAATTGCTCGTCTATCAATTACGTTATTTTATTATCTTAATCCAAACAAACAACCACTGACATATACGTATTTTATTTTTAAACATTTTCTATTTCTCTTTGTTTCATCTGTTTTTTAAAACACATACTTAAATAGATGATGAGAGACAGAATTGTAATTGATTGCTTTTTCTTTTTATGTTGTTGTTTCTTGTTGTCGTGGAATAAACAACCATTTCTAATTCGTGTCCTTCGTCTTTTCTTTAATCATGCGCTTTGTGCGTATACACACGCACACACACCTACACATAGAGGTTTTTTCCGGTTTCTTGGTGACACGGTTATTCTTTATTCAAAAAATCATGTAAAATGAGTCGTATTCTCAATAAAACGTGAATGCATATATTGTTATCATCCCAATGATTCTCTTACAATAGTTTGCTGAGGAATAAAGTATAAATAAATTATTTAAACACAAACAGTCAGAGCTTGAATTTTTTGCATTTTTCATTTTTTTTCATTACATACCATATGCTTCTAATATAATAAATCATTATTTTTGTTTCGAAATTCTTCAATCGTTTCATCTTTTATTAATGATCATAAAGGCATACTGTAAAAAACTAATGTACATAATGAACATCATCATTTCTTTCTCAAAGCAACAGTCTTATGATTTTGCCGTCAAAGGTGTGCGTTTGTGTGTGTGAATAAATTTTCTGTGGTATTTCTATCACGATTTTGGGTTATAGATAGCATTTATGTCTTTTTGATTCCATTCTGTTTTTTTTGCTGTTCGTTATATTTTTTTTCTCTAAAACCCATACATAACTAAAGAGTGAGGCGTTTCCAAATAACACTTGTACGATGAAATTACACACGTAAAATCCACACGGCCTTTTTGTTTTATTTGTTTATTTTTATTTCTTCTATTTTTAACAGTTTTTTTTCCTGTATTTATGTCTTTTGTTCTTATCATGTATGTATATCTATATGGCAATAACACTGAATAAAAATTTTGGAAATAAATAACGTTCATATGATGCTTTTGAACTGTAATTTAGATCTCCTGTAGAATGACTAAACTGAAAAGATGTATTGATTGCTGAAAAGAACTCCTACAGCTATCTTCTATCGAACTGACGATACTACATCAATTTGTGTCTTAAACAATGTATTTAATCACTCTATCATAATGCTTTAACTAAAAGCCTTATGCTCATTTTCTGGAATAGCATTTTATAGATGTTGTATGGTTATCGACTAAATCAAAAAGAATATATTTTTTTTTCTTTTTAGATTTTTGAATTTAATAGTCTCAACATTATCGAGAAGTAAATCGAGTTTGTCAGCATAAAGTAAAGAGGAAACTTGTTATATATAATCAAAACTCGTAGTACTGATATGACAGTGGCCCTCTTTTCTTATTTTTTTCTAAAAACTTTTGAATTCTGTGCCATGTTTTTGAACTTTAGCTGTTATGTATAATAAAACCTGGTAAAAAAATTGGTAAAAAATTAAATTATCACTGGAAATAGTCAAAATTTTTAAATTTTTATTCTTATTGTAAAAACTTCTTTCTTTCCCATACTGTTCTACTTAAAATTGTTTTAACATCGTATTGCAGAACAAATCATTTTCTACGAGATGAGCTAGTGAAATGAAAAATAGCTCAGAAATATGTCCGAAAAACGGTTTGCTGTGAGAATCATTAGTAGATAACTCCAAAATTTCGTTGTAAAAATCAAATTTTTGGTATTGTAATGGGATTTTTAATCAAAGTATATATGATTTTTGGAATCTGCATGTGAATAAAAATCTTTTAGATCGTTGATTTCTTTTTTGTTGCCAGAGATCTTGCCAGAATTTTTTTGATGTTTCGCAAGTCTAAAATTTTTTTGTACTAGAAATCTGTCGCTTAAGAGGGATTCCTTTCCGTCTTGTTTTCATTCTGTTTGTTTCTATTTTTAACATTGATTCTGTTAGTCTACCCTGTTACTTACTATATATTACTATGTAATGATGTTTTTAGTATGACTAGATATTTCTGGTTTTGGAACTTGCATTGAGACAATTAATCTACATTTAAAGAATAATAAAGACATCTTCATATCATCAAACTAATGCTGTATGAATAAATGATAAACCTTAAAATTATTCCTGATTCAAATGTTATAAAAGAATGAGATATCAAAATTATCAAAGATTGATGGAATGCTATACTATACAGTTTTCTATATATCAATAGATATGGAACTGTCAAACTTGAATTGCATTGGTAACATTAATCAAATGATTTGAACGAAACGAGTGAAATGAGAACACGTGCATTACAAAAGCTTGCAAAACCTGGAAGACACATGTTGAAATCAATCGAACAACTTTACTACGTATTTATTCAAAAGCCAATTGATCATATAACTAATAAGCTGAACAACGTAATAAACAAAAAAAATAGTCAGAAAAGTAGGTGGATTAGATAAGCGTATCAATTTAAGTGATATTGAATATATTAAAGAAAAGATAGACAAACTGACACGTATGGTTCAACGGATAAATTCAAAAACATTTGATATTCATCTTGCTGAATTACAAGCAGAATAATAATTAATAGTTTTTCATTTAAAACTATCATACAATTAAATCAACATGGAATTATTAAATTAAACGAATTATGAATAAATAAGCATAAAAATTTTCGAAAGTTCGTCGTCTTACAAAAAATTGTTTACTGTTCTGTTTAAAAGAAATACGCATGATATTAAAGTCAGATAGAATGATGGAAATACAATCTCATTGCATTTGCAATAAAAATAGAAATTATAATTGAATCTGGAATTGAATGAATATTTATACACGTTTTATTTTGCTTTTCTTGATATAGAATTGCTTGATTCTTCCTTATTCAGAATACAAGCGGAAAAATATTGCAGTAAACGGCAAAACTAACTCCACTGTTCTGTATCTATATTCTGTACAACGATTGTAGTTGTGCAATCGACCTGATGTTATTAGTAGTCATTTTTTGGGTTTTATTTTTTTGTTTCGTTTTGATATAAGCTATATTCTTTCTAACTACAAGCGTTTTCAACATGTTTTTGGTTTTTCTACTAAACTATTTTTTATCTAATGGTTACGCCTACAAATAATGAGAGTGTCACGGTCTAGACAGAATGTTTGTCTACGGATATTAGTTTTGTTAACGCATGCTTTACGATGTCACCAGAAAAGTGTATAGAGTACGAAAGAAAGTTGACTTGAACAGTCACGTAACACTTAATTTTTAAAGACATTTTTGATGTGATCATTTATAAAATCGTACTACATGATATTCATCGTTTGTAAAACTATTGTGACTTTTATTTTCTAGATCTTATTACTCAACTGTTATTATCGCTAAAATGCCTGTTAAACAAATATCGACTGGTAGTCTGCAATCAGAATTAAATTCAGCCGGTGATAAAGTTGTTTTGGTTGACTTTTTTGCTGAATGGTGGTAAGAAATCCACTTGGTATTTTCCTATTACAAAGCAGTTATCTATTTTATTTTGAAGTGGACCGTGTAAAACTATTGCTCCTCATATTGATCATTTGAGTTCAACTCATCCAAATGCTGTATTTCTCAAAATTGATGTTGAAAAATGTCAGGTATTTTACTTTTTATTCTTTTCAAACTACAATTTATTAATCATTTTATTTTATTTTTTTACTTTTAGACAGAAGCAGAACAGTACAATATAACAGCAATGCCAACATTTTTATTTTTTAAATATGCTAAAGAAGTTGATCGTATTAAAGGTGCTAATAAAGAATTACTTGAATCAACATTGAAAAAATATTATAATGATGTACCATCAAAAGTTGTTGGACATGTAAGTTAATAAGATTAGCTATCAAATGTTTTATTTTTCTTCAATTATTATATATTTATTTATTATTTTAAGATTGATTTAAAAGAACTTATTAAAGTAGCTGAAAGTGAAGCATTAAACGAAGCAAGTCCACTTCAATGGCAAGATGCTATTATTCATCATAAAGGTGTTCTTAAATCAGATGTTGATGAAGAGGTACGATATGAGAATGATTTATTTGTTGAAAATATCTTTATTTACATTTTAATTTTTAGCTTATATTACATATTGCATTTAATCAAATTATTCGATTACATTCAATTATTATTGAAGCACCAGAAGGTTGGTAGAGAAAACAGAAGCATAAGCTCTTTTTTGATAATAATTTAACTAATAAATTATGTTTCTTTTTGTTTTCAGATGCGGGACCCAAGACTGTTAAATTATTCATAAATCAAACAAAGACATTAGATTTTACGGATGCTAAAAGAACAGATCCAGTACAAACATTGGAGTAAGTAAAAATATATTGACAAGTTTAATATCAACGTTTCTCAAACTTTTATCTTTTGATTTAGATTTGAAAAGAAGCAGCTTACTGAAGGAACGCCAGTCAATCTCAGATTTGTTAAATTTCAATCTGTTCAAAGTGTTACGGTAAGAAAATTCACCTAATAAATCTATGATTTTGATTTTTATATTCTACTTGAATGAAATTAAAGAAATGTGTTTTCTATGAAAATTTTTTCAAGATTTAGGCTTTTCTGTAACTTAAAAATAAATGATTATATATCTTACATTTCATCTTAATTTAGCATTAAGATCAGTTAATAAGAAAGAGTGCTCAGCATTTTGTACTTTTTAGTAGTTGGATTACGATGTTCAGCTAGATCTTTTCTCTCAGAGTCAGATCTACCTATTCAACTTGTAAAAAAATGATTTTCTATATTTTTGTATAGCTATTTTTTCAAAATAATCAAGATGGTACAGAGACGACAACAATAAATTCAATTAAATTCTACGGTACGCCAATTCAGACAACAAATATGAATGATTTCAAAAAGGTAATGATAGTCAATATTGACTTGTTGTAAATAAAATATAACTCGTCGATTTTCTCTAATTGTTAACACTGCTGTTTTAGGCCGATGGGAAACCAATAGCAAATATGTGAAAGAAATTTAGAAAAAATGAACAAATCTGTCGAATGTGCCTACTCTAGTTCTAATTTTTATTATTTTTTTTCGTGTCTTACTACAAACATCCTTTAGTTGTTTTATTTTTTGAGAGAGTCGAATGATCGACCACATGTAAAGTGGTATTTTGCTCGATGAACTATTAAAAATAGAAATTAAGGTATATACAACTCTGTTTCATATTACTCTTGATATTATAGTTCTAAGAGAACGGTATTACATGTGATCTATTATTGATAATTCTTGTTTTTATTTCGTTCCATTTTGTGAGTCCTTGTCATTCGTTACACTAATTGTTATATTTTTTGTTCTATTATTGTTGTTGTTTTAAAAACTCTGTTTAAACAATCATGCTGCTCAACAAAAAAAATCGATGGAACGAAAACGATCAAAATTAATGCAAATTCATTGTTCCTTGAAGATGGAAATGAGATGATCACTTTTTTGACTAATGCACTTATTACATGGAAGATTTTGTTTTTAAAACTCAATCAGATGTAGCAGATGACATACCTATTTATTTTTTCATGCTATGTCATCAGTTGATAAATTTTTAGCTATATCATATTTTTATCTAGCTCTTAACGGTGAAGTAGTCCCCATGAAAATGTAAAAATTGTCATGCACATACATAAGGATGCTGGTACAACATTGGTCAGGAACTATTTCGATGAGAGTAAAAAGTTCGAAATACATGGCAGGTTTTTCACGTGAGCGCTTAAAATTTTTCAGGTTTTTTCAAAAAAAATTCAAGAGGCCAAATAATAGTTTCATTCGACACATTGAGCAATTCTTTTGTAAAAGTATCCAAGAGGTACTCTACTTTTTTATTCTTTATGACGTCTTAGTTCTATGTAGAATGAAACAAGGCAAAATGAGTCAATTTTATTATCACAGCGAGTTAATACTTTTAGTTGGAGACATCACTATGCTGCATACTACTCATCGGCAAAATAGTGAGGATGAAAATTGTCATCAAATGACAAAATTTATTCTTATCATAACTCGACGAAAAATATGAATAAAAGATATGTATTGTTATAAGACATTTTTAAATGAATACTAGTCTAGTAATGATCGATATCAAGCCTATTTTCTTCTGTTATAAATTCATTTCTTCACTTTTTCCGATTTGAAGTGGTAAAATAGTGCAATGCTTTTGCATGAGAAGATATCTATTTATAATTCAACACATCCAGATAAGACTAAAACAATTTATTACGATACTATATGCTCATTCAAAGTAGAAACAATCAATTCAAAAAATAGATATAAATTGCTTTGTTTAGATGACGAAAAAAAAACTATATAACAGAAAAAAAAATTGTAAAGATTGAGAATCTGTAGAATACCTGTTTTTTTCACATATATCAGACATATCTATCACTGTTTATGAATAAGTGAAACAAACACAAAAAACAAAACACAACAACTTAATTATTCTCTACTATTATTGCCTTAAATATTTACATGCTAATTACGAATAAACAATTTTTTTTTACTACCATCTGTTACTTATACATCAGATGGATTAGAACTTAATCTCATTAAATCGTTTTCAGTTATACCACCGATTTTCATCGCATGTTGAATTTTTTTTTCAACTTCTTTGAGTGCTGTCATTTGTGAGTGCTGTTCAAGAAGAAGTGGTCTTCGTTCAACACGTTCTTGAATTTTATCTAATTGTTCAGCATAATCGGAGTTACTTCGACGCATTGACTGACGTAAATTACGCATCTAGAAATAGAATTAGTCAACGTATCCATACTTTTATCAAAGATTTCAATAAATGGTTCAAAATTTACTCTGACTACCTCTACTTACTTTTTGTTCATTTTTTGTTTTATGAATTAATGATTTATCATTTAATTTTGCTTTTTCGCGTATTTTTTCTCTCAAACGTCTGTCTTTCATTGAACGTGATTGTTGAAATGATTTTTCAAATAATTCTTTTTTTTCATCATCATGACGCTTTTTTCGATTCACTGATTCTCTTAAACGTTGTGATTCGGTCATTTTTGTCGGTATGCTTTCTTCAAATGATATTGATTTATTCACATTCATATTGATAGATGAATGGAGTCCACTATCTTTAATACCAAATGTTTGACTTTTTATTGTAGTTGTAGTTTTTCTATCAGGTTGATTATTAGCTGATGCTGCACGTTTGACTTGTTTACCTTTGATTTGAAACGTTTGTGAACGACGAATTTGTTCGTCATTTTTTATATCATTAAGAATTTTTTCTTTTTTCGATGGTATCAAATTTGTGTACAATAAAAACGGTTTACATTTTGTTGGTGAACGTAGTTGTTTCGATGATTCCATATTCGATATGAATTGGCGATGCATTTTATCATAGTTAGGTATGTAATAACCATTGGTTTTGGGTTTAAAACTGTATTCTTGGAGACCCAATTGATTTAATTTTTTACGTGATAAATCATTTGCACTTAATGAACGTTTTTGTTGACGTTTACGCATATTATCTGGTAATTTCGATTGACGCAGTAATTCTTTGGCACGCATTTGTTTTTTAACATGACGATGCAACTCTTGTTCTTTCGTTCTAAATAAAACAAAGAAATTTCATTGCACTTAATCCCATGTTGAGTGTCATAAATCACACTTCACAAGAAACTTTGTTAACGTACTGCTCTAAATCTTTGCTTGTTTTGTAATAAAAATCTGGTAATGGTTTTGCTTTGAAATGTGATTGTTGTGTAATAGATCTTAAATCCCCTGAAAATGAATGTCGTCGTAATAGTAATTTTGTTTTTTCTCTTGAATCAAATGAAAATGGTTTTGATATTGAATGTAAATATTCTTTAGTCATATATCGAGCGTTTTCTCGGCGAAGACGCTGGTCTTGTTTTATTTTTTCATATAACGGTAAATTAACATGAGTTGGTACAGGATTAGCTACAAAAAAAAGAAAGAAATCAGAATATTAGATTGTACTATTAACTAATGAATACGTACCTCTAAATGATCGACCTAAATTAATTTCATCATCAACTTCTTTCTGTATTTTATCCACTTCGATTTCGTGCATACACTTTCGTCGATGAATATTATCAATGGCCATACTATTTGTAAGGTTAAATGGTTCAGGCACGGTCGCCCGTCCAGCCCAAGACGACGAGACAGGTGCACTTGGTGATCGAGAATGTCGGTTTTCATTACTAAAAACGTAGATAAAAGCTCTTTTTTTACAGCTTCTAAAGGTAAATGGCAGCCTGTTACCTGGTTTCATATAAATAATCATCTGATTCAAACTCATTCCCCATTGTGTGTATGTGTTTTTTTGAATTATTTGAATTTGTTGCCACATAGTTAACATGACTTTTCGTGCGATGTGGGCAATCGGAATGGTCCTCGTCATGTCTCAGAATGTTTTGTGATCGTTGTCGATCAAAGCCAAGAACTGAATTATTTTGATCCTCGGTGATGAAACCGGGTGATGGGGAACGTGTGCTTCGTTTTGGTGATAATACATTATTTCGAGATCGATCGGGTAATGGCGGTTTAGTTGTAAGAATATTGTTTGTTATTGTTGACAATGTTTCTTCGTGATAGGGAAATACGTACGACTGAGTTGCATGAAGTTGTTCTTGCAAAGAGTGATTGGAATATGTTTGTTCACGATCATAATCTTTAAGTTGATAATAGTCATGTTCAGTTTTGGCTAATTGTAAACGTTGTTCTTGTCTAGTTTGTTCTAATGTTTTCAAAAATGTATCTTCATTTGGCTTTATACTCAATTTTGATATGAGATTATTTTTGTACACCTACAAACACATGAGATAGAAGCATACACATAGTAGGTATATCCCTGTTTGTTTTAAAAGGAGATTCTTTTTCACATTTTATAATGCAGCAACAATCAAATAATCTCATTCAATATGATAATTGTAAAATCTTTAAAATATGATTGTTGATTCAAGATAAAAAATGAATTATATTCAAGCATCATGTTAGCTTTTCCGTAAAAACACAAACTGAGTAATTTTTTTAGCCGAACGAATGTTATAAGTCACTAATTTTAAGTTAAAGAAATGAATTTGAACTTTATGTGTTTTCTATCAACTTCAGGGTTTTTCTGCGAAATTTTTTCGATACAAATTTTTTGTTTAGAAGTGTGTTGTCTGACACATGGTTCAATACCGTTTTTTGTAGCTGATTCGAAACATCACCTTGGTTTTGAGTAAAAGTGCTTCCGAAATGAGAAAATTTGATTTTACATGAAAAACTAGCGAGTTTTGAGGCGGTTCAGGATCGTCTATGCATTCTTATGTAAATTTTGCAGATGGAGTGAAAGAAGACGTTTAAACAAGATTGAAAGCGGGCTGAAGTGAGCGAGTTCACTGCACTGACTACCGCTGTTTTGGAAACATTTCCTAGTGTGAAAAATATTTTTTTCCATCCTCGTTGAGGTACGACTTGGATAATCTTTTGGTTGTCAGGTAGCGCAATGACCAGAGAATAGTTGTTGGTTTCGTTTTTGATATTTAGAATAAGTCAACTGGCAAACAAATATTTTTCGTTGTTTTGCTCGGTTTTTTAGCAAATTTTCTAGTTTGAATTTTCCCACTGTTCCCCGTAAAGACAAAAAAAAGTTAGGAAAATATAGCCACGATATCCATCTAAATGATCTGGAAAAACTCAGATCAAAACTTGAAAAAATGAAAGTCTTACTTTTTTCTAGATGTTTACGTGGTTGTCCACTGTGATAGGCTTAAATAGTGCTTCAAACACGCGCTTTTCATCAAAAAAGCACTTTCTTTTTAGAAAATTCAGAGGCACCACATATTTGAAACCAACCTGTTACCTCAAAGTCTGGCGTGTCGTACACTGATCTAATAAGTGGATTGATTTTATCCAGGTTCACTTTTGTATTGTAATAATCGACTAATGATATTGATGAATGTGTAGTAGAAGCAGTCATTCTTTGGCGTAAAACTATGAAGTTAAAGGATAATTTTTTAAGTCAGTAGTTTAGCTACTATTATATGTTTTCCATTAATTACGTTGGATATTATGTATCCATCTAAGGACCTCGATCATGAGAAATGGTTTGAGAAATAAACCATGCTCTAAAAATAATACATCTTTTTTCTTTTAGTACAAAATAATCACTGAGGTTCATAGTTTAGTGAGAATTGCTATGTATAATCACCGCATCGATGGTGGCGCGTCCGTAGTAGCAGTTTTTGAGTAAAAACGTACGATCATGAGAAAGCTGAAGAAGTGTTCGTTACTCTTCACTAGACATTTATTTTCCACATACAACGAAATCGTTGCTTTTTCACCAAACATCTAGCAAATTATTCGAAAAAGGGAGTTTTTGTTTGATTGTGCCCGAGTCGAGAATCTCGTGAGAAATCCCGTAAGAATTCAGTCAAAGAGATATTGATAGTTTTTTATCAAGTTACATTGTATATAAAAACCACGATTTTTGTAAAAAGGTTTTCAAGATTTTTGAAGTTGTTGTCACATTGGTGATTCCCTACCACAACAAGATTGGGTCATACCAGCTGGGTAGAGAAAAACTGACATGCTTAAATACCAACCAAACATTAGGAAAATTAATGCAAAACTTAAAAAATCCTCCACCGGGATTCTCGACGAGGGAGATATGTTTCTGACACTGATTTGTCGTGGATATGACAACATAGCTGCCAACACTCTATCAACATGCGACATTAACCAAGAACGAGTAACTGTGCCTGAACGAAATTAACTGAGATTGAATGGTCATTTTAAATTATCTTATTCAAATTGCAATTTTATGGTTTTTTAATTTACCTACGTTCTCTCGAAAATGTGAGTATAGAACATTGATGATGACACTTTACTTTCATCAAAGCATTACCATCGTTTTGAGATCATTCTAACTGTCTATATAAGAAAACTAAAACTTATTATTCATTAGGCTCATCGCAATATTAAACTTATTCATCACATGACGTTTAAAATACGTGATTTTCTGAAACCATAAGTTAGTATGGCCATACTCTCCATACTGTCCATTCTCACCCGAACTGCTTATTAGTCGTGTCAGTTATATTGGTAACAGATATCCGTTCAAGGGCATTATCTAGCTGTTTTCTTTTGTTTCATGATGCTAAATATAGATCTACGGGATATTGATTGAGCGAAAAGTAAGACTGAGTTTTTACCACCGACGCTGATTCATTCAAGTTTTTGCCAATTTTTTACGTTAATAAATTTCTTTGTTGATGGGACATTATTCAGTAGTATTACACTTTTTTATAGAGACAGATTCGTTTACCTGCTCCCAAAAAATACATTGTCCAAAATAACATCTCACATATAATATAAATACCCTAACTGGAAGAAGGCCATGCGATATGCAACCTAAAACAATCAAATAATATCTTAATAAATACAGCGAAAACATCCTAAGTAAAAATGATCTAGATTCAGCTTCACGTACATCTAGATGCACACTCTGTAAAAACAAAAGGTTAATATACGAAACCTAAAAGGGTATATAGAAGTGCAACTATTTCTAAACCCTTTTAGGTTTCGTAGAAGGAAAGGTACGGTACGAAATCGTTTAAGTATATAAATTCTATCAGTTTTTTTCTGAGCAAGTGGACCATTTCAGCAGCTTAGGCGTGCTTTCATAGTATAGAGCGGTGAAAACTGATGATGAGCCCAAAAAATATCTGAAACTTCTGTACTTTTTGATTTTTCACGAGAGAATTATAGGGGAAAAACATAAATTTTGGTAAAAATACATTATAGAAGAACAACTATCTTCTCGCTGAGCAACTAGAAACACGAACATTATTTGACAATAAAGAATACTTATCAGCGAGAAATAGTTTAAATGAAAAAGTAACGCCATAATCTACTTTAGTACAGACTGATCTTAAAGTAAGGTTCATAAATTTGTTTTTTTGTAATTGAACCAGTATAACTTTGGGTATGATTACTCTTCTTACAAATTAAGTTGATGTGCCACTTTGCCACTGGCTATCTCTCTGTTTTATCCTGTTATTAATATTAATTAAAAAGGAAACATAAAGTGATAAAATAAAACGATTTGTTTTTTATTCAAAGTAAAGTGCGGAAAAACAGACACTTGAATGATGAAAAGTCTATTCATCATTGTTCGATACAACAAAATCAATGAGAAATATGTTGAATTTATGAAATTTATCAGTACACGGAAACTAGTTTAGCATCGCGTACTTTCATATTAATCAAAAAAAAAATGACAAACACTCTTGATCATACTTCTAATGTTAATGGATTTTGTCTCAATCTAAGAAACAAATAATCATCATAAATGGTTGTCATTTTATTACTAGAATGGAATGGAAAAATATTCTAATGTAAACGAAACATGGATTTATTAGCTAATTTATGCCATCATGCTGTAACCGTTTAATAGAAGAACATTCATAGAGAGAGAAGAGAAAATCACCATGTTTGATACTCTCTCTCTCTCTCTCTCTTTCTCTGCAAATAGTACATTTAACTATTGTTTTTTTTGACGATAATTTTGTTTATATGATAACTACATACTTTATGTTTATTATGCAAATATACATCATAACAAAAAAATTGTTTTAGTTTATTTTGCTGAGTGCTGTACATATTCTGATTTTTTATTTCCAAAATCATGGAAATCATTACTGTGTATATTATGATTAAAACAATAAATATCAGCATAAAAATACTGAATTCTAAAAAAATATGGCATAAACTTTTGTACTTTGTCTCAATTGTGTAGCATATTTAAAACGCTATCAAATCAGTGAAACTTTATCATAAATCATTTATCTTGAGTACGATTGTCAAAATGAAATAGTTGTTGCGATATGATATGAATTTTCGTGTTAATAATCATGCGTATACATGTCTTATTTTGTCTGAGAACGTGGCTTTTAAGGAAGTTCACATAATAAAAAAAGAAAATAACTTACTAAATTTACTTTCTGTTTGGGTAAGAGAACCATAAGTTTAAAGTAGCATTAACACGGTAAGCAATATAACTGCGTGATTAAGTTAACAACAGGAAGAAGATAATTTTGATACTTTAAACTCGACTTATTTGAACTAAATAAATTTTGTTTTACAACCGCTTTTTTCGTTATAGAAAAACTCAAGTCCTTGGAACTTGAACTGGTTCTTACTATGCGTACACTCCTGTTCAAATTTCCAAAACTTGAACTTTTTTCTGTAATAAAAAAAGCGGTTGTAAAACAAAATTTACGAAGAAAATAGCTAATACAAGACAAGAAGTCAGGAAATGATTTATAAGAAAACAACCGTTTTTTAGAGTAAGTTCGATTGATCTTTACAAGTTAATTAATGTGTATGTGTGTGATGCTTGTTACACTTTGGAGAAGAAGAATAAAAGGCTTAATTAAAATATATCAATCAACTATAGGATTAATTTTCTAAGTAAAACACTTAATGTTTATATTAGCTCTTTTCAACTTTTGATCTTTGTCGAAAATAAATACTTATCGTCATATTTGCAGATGTTGAAAAATTTAGCAATCGTAGTAAACAGGTTAAAATTATTTCATGTGAATATGTCTGATGTATTCTTGTATTCTAAAAATATTTTAAATTATATCTGAATCGATCTCTGTGTATACTTTAAATATGACATAAAGTTCTGTGAAATACAAACATTTATTCGAGATTGTTAGCTGAATGAGCTAAGAACAAGCATATCATTAACGTTTTTCACATCTGTTTTTTCTCGGATTAGTGCAATATTGACGATTTTTTTCAATTTCTTTTGAAAACAGATAAGTTATCTTTAACTAAATATACTGATCAAATTCTTTTTCAAATCGATTAGAATAATAATAATAATAATGTTGATGATAATAGTGATGAGTGTTAATTACATCAGTATTCAGGTAGTAGCTATTTTTTTGTTCTAAAATGTACAACAAGTATAATACAACATTAATAGGTGTCTCTTTCTTATTTGCAAATATTACTTTTTACTTTTTCTTTTTGTTTAAAGCAAGTGCCTAGAATTTTAATCTGTTAGTAATATGAGATTGGTTAAACTCTTGAATTAACTCTTTGATAAGTTAGAAAAAAAGAAGAGAAGTGGAAAAGAGAATCTGTCGTCTCTATATATTGATCTTTAATTTGTGTGAAAAAAAATACAAATATGTTCTCCATCTCTGTTTTATACTCAAGTGATTGATACGTTGATCAAAATGTATATACAACAACATAACAAAAAAAAAAAAAGAAATCTGAAATCAAATACATATTCATTTATTCATTCATACTTATACTGTACACCTATACAAATAATATTTAAACTACATCATACATCGTGATATTATATCAAGAACTGAAAGTGACACAGAATAAAAAGAATATGATATATGCCTTGTTGAAAAGAACGGAAGGTAACAAAAAGTAATCAGTTGATGACAGGCGTACGAGATAACACACTATGAAATGATAATGTGCTCAATTAATTATTGATTTAAATTTATCCTATACATCGACTTCTAAATAATGTTAGTCTTTTGAAGTAACAAAATTCATGTACAGACAAGTCCATGAATTGGACAACAACACAAAAAATTTTTAACAATGAAAATGTCTTTACGATTTATTCTCGGATGACTTAGGAATGCTTCAATCATTAATCATCCTAAAAAATTAAGAAACAAAGACGATAAACAAAAAAATTAATAATCTTTCTATTTGATGAAAACTAACGTTCTGAATCGGTTTACTATGGTTCTTTCTTTCTTTTTTTGTTATTGAGTATACTAAGGCATTCTATTCCTGATGAATTATTTATGTATCCCTTCTCCTAGCTTTTATGGTATTGTAATATGATGTGAAAATCGATTCTCTACCAAAACAGATGTATAATACATACTCAAAACTTCAGTAATTATTTTCATATCTGTATTTGACATATATTTAACCGAATAAATTATTTAAACGATAGAACAGTAGTAGGTTGAGAAGCCTACTTCAACTATCGAAGAATCTGGATCATGTCCAAGGCGGTCGCAATTCTTCCAAATTTGGGAGACTGAGGCATTATTAATGGTATATTATGTACTGTGACTGACGTTCACTTGGCTTATTTTCCCGTCGTGTATTGTACTTGTTATTCTATCAATGTATTGTGACCGGTAGTTATGTATTGTTGATTTTGGATACCAACCATCTCTCTCATATCACCATCCCCAAAGTAACGTCAGTCCTAGTCGTGTCAATTACTCATATTCGCTTAGTTTCAATATCAGTTTAGGTTGTGATAATATTCTTGAAATTACATTCTCATATGCAACTGATTCTTCAGGACCACTCTAATTGGACATGCTTAACATATAAAGGTTACGCCATTTTGTTTAAATATATATATATATATAGTTACATTTTTACACTGATACTGGATGTAGCCAATCAGTTCTGAGTCTAGAGAAATAACTGATTGGTTATAAATGTAACGGACTCTCATTTGAGACATTGAATATATTTTTCTTCTTTTCTTATGAAGAAAGTAAGAACAATTTGATTTTTTTCTGTTGTGTTCTCTGTCTCTTTATGCGACAGTTGTATTAAGAGTGAGCAACAGTCGATCAAAATGTTAGATTTTCGGAAGAAAAAGTATTTAAGTCTGATTCAAATTTTTCATCTATAGTTAAGTCTGATATTCAATCACTAACAAAGAAGCTTTGGAATCTTTTGTAGTGCCGATTTTGTTTTGAAAGTAAGATCATCCTAGCGAATGTAAAACATAAATTTTGCATTAGTTCAAAACTATATTTATTTAAAATATCCTCCGACTAAAGCGGCAATGGCCATTCTTTCATTAAATAGACAAAATTAGATGATATTTCAGATTTTTCTGATTAAATTGCCCTTTTGAGATATTTGACTTTTTATGCTGACTCGACAAGCTTTTATCTCATTCAATAGCTTAGTATCATCCATTTTCAAACGAAATATTTGTCATGAAAATCGACTATTTTCTGTTTGAGACGTTTCGTCTTTATTGAAAAGACATCCGGAGGCCGCTGAGGCTGTGGTTTGTTTTAAGACGGAAGGGGGGCAACAGGAAAATGTGGGTTTTGGTG